ATAAAATTACCCTGGGTAAAATTTTCCATATATATATATATTGTGACCATTATGTAAACACAGAAAGCTACTATGATCATCTCATGTATGTTTTTCATTTGTGAGTTACAAAAGCTATTCCTAAGTATGCTACTATACTTAGCTCTTAAATTTTTAAAGAAAATTCCCCTTCTAAGTTTCCTGAATATGATGTTCCCATCACTTTGACTAACCTGTGACAACGTTTATACTTTCTTTTCCAAAGATGTAATTTGAAAATGGTGTCATCCTGCTTTTGTTGAACTAATTTATAACTACTAGTCTGTTTTAAGAACATATATATTAACTACTAGAAAGTAAAACTTCTCTTCAGCCAAATAAAGTATTTGCCTTTAACAGTGTAAGTTAAATTGAATTGTACTCGGCTTTTAAATGTAATAAATACTCCTTATAGCATTTTAAAAACATTTCTTTAAACATTAAACATACATTTCTGGATTCTTGTATCATCTGTTAATTATAGGGTTTATTAAGTCATTTATTTTGCACATGTACACAGGAAGTCTGTGCACATCAAATAGAAAAAAGATCTTCCCTTTAAGCCCTGTATTTTAGTTCCCAAGGTAATAGCACTTGCACCTCTTTCCTAAGTCTTCTCTTTTGCATGTAAGGATAGTTCAGATTTCATCTCTATCCCTTTCATTTTATTTTAACTTTTTCATGGACTTCAAAAATAAGATGTCAATTAAAAAAGATTTCCTTGCCTTTTGTATAAAAGAGCTAACAAAAATAGTAAAAGATTAGAAAGCCAAGGATTAATGTGTTTAATATAATAGTCTCTTTAGGAGAAGTGCAAATGTTTTTTGAAATGTGAAGTTTCAAGAAAAATTCCTGTGAAATTCATCACTCGTTTTCACTATACATTCCATGAAACAAGATACACTTTTAACAAAAAGTTTGTCTTGATTGTGATAAGCTATTATTCTAATGAAATAATCAAATGGTACCATTAGAGTTTTTTCTGGAACAAGATGGTATACTATTTATAAGTAAAAGGATTCTATCACATGTAAAAAATTTGGTTCGTCTGTATTACTATGAAATAATACATAGCTAAAAAACAATCTCTGCAAAAAGTTTCACAATTATATATTCTCATTTTTATTTTGATATACTTTTTATAGCTGTATAAATAAAATATACAAATAAGAAAAGTTGAAAACACTGTTGTTCAAAAAAATACCTTCTTTTTTAATACTCATTTTTCCTGGCAACAAAATACATCTGGCAAACAAATCTTGTATAACACACCACACTCCCCCTTCTGGGTTTCTCCACCATTGTATGTTTCTGTCCATGACTGTCTGACTTTCTCTGAACACACACATTCTCCCTTCACAAAGCTTAAATATATATAAAACATATATATTTGGCTGCTGCAGAAAGAATAGAGGTGACTCATTTTATTAAGCCAAGTTGTTATTTAACCATTTGTATTGTCTCCCTTACATCTCCCTGAGAAATTTTTTCGCTTTAATTAGTGCACAATTCCTTTTAATCTAACAAAAATTAGCCAATAACCAACAATTAGATAATCCCTTACTTGTTGGTTTGGCCAAAAAGTCTGTTTAGTTTTTTCCATAAAGTAAAGACAAATGTTTCATTTTCACCATAAGTTTATTGATTTGGATATTTTGGGTATGATGCTATCGCCTTGGTGGTATAACATTGATTGTTCTCAGTTAATGTCTCAATTTCATCACTGTCAACTTCAAATGGTCCACCAGACTGTAGAGCATCGTCCAGCAAGAAATCTCCAGCAGGAAACCTCGCAAACCACTTTTGACAAGTGCGATCAATCATGGTACCTTCTCCATACACTGCACAAATCTTTTTTTTTTTTGTATTTCAGTTGCGTTTGTATCTTCCTTAAAATAATAAAGCATAATATGCCAAAAATGTTGCGTGTTTTCTTCCATTTCCAATATTAAAATGGCTACACAAAAATTAACCAGTTTTGATAAGGTTTTTTAATGCATGTTGATATGACAGCTCTCACAATGTAGTCTAACAAATTGTTTTAAATGAAGTTAAAACAACTAAGTGCTACTAGAGCCATTTTACAGACAAAACCAAATGAACTTTTTGGCCACCCCCATATTTAAATGTCATTAGTAATTCACCAAACAACTACTTTTTATCCAAAGTTAATATTCCTTGTAGCTTAGATTTTTTTTTAATCTAAGTTTTAGTTTGCACAAGAAAAACATATCTTCATGGACTTATTTATATGTTTGATTTTTAATATTACTTCATGATCTAACAGTACAATTACAAAGGTCAATGGAGAAAAATAATTTTGGAATATATGCCTCCAAGATTAGGAGCAACACAGTGGACAGAGTAGAAAAAGCTGTTCCACAGTCTGTAGGCATGTTCTTCCATGTGAAGATGTCTGATGGCTCAAGAGTGGGCTGGACAGATCAGAGAACAGCTGAAGGCCAGAAGATAGACCCCAGGGGAAGGGATGCGGAGGGAGTCTTTCAAAGTTGGTAGTGGTGGTGTATTAAATAAACATGCTATTATCAATGTGATTTTCAGATGGATTTGATGACAGGAGTTATGTAGTCACTTGCCTTTACATGTACCCAAATTCAGTAAGAACTCCAAAGAAGAAAAATTATTCATGTTAAGGAAAGAAGGGGCGGGGGATTTACCTGACAAGTTAGTGAGGAATCTTTACATAGTAAAAACAGTCAGAATCAACACACCAAAGTAGACACTGATGCTGGAAAAGGAGAATGATTGTTTAAAAGAGTAGCATCTAATCTGAGACTCAAATATGAGGATAAGATATATATGAAAGTAAGATGCAAGTTAACATTGAGAATATAGCCAATTTAGATCTAACCTGACTTTGTAATAAAAATCATGTTTCCATTTCCTGAATTCCTATAGGAAATCCTGTTTAATTTACTACCTTATTTTATAAATTGCTTATATTTTTCTTCCTTTATTTATATACTTGGTAAAGATTTTCTTGACTTAATGTCTCTGTTACTTTATTCCCTTTGATGAGTATAGTCAGTTGTATTTATTGAAATAGTGGTTGGCTAACTAGCCCAAAGAGTGAGTTCTATTATATATTTTACAAACTTAAAATAATGTTGATAGCAAGTAGCTATCTCTTTTAACTGAGATGTGTATGTATGTTCATATTTTAAGAAAAGCTTATAATTTGGTTTTGAGGTTATACCTACAAATCTTATTACATTCATAATTTTTATGCTTACATTTGAGTGCATAAACATATAGGTGTAGATAAAATGGCTATAATGGATTTTTTCATGTTCTCTAGAACTTACCAACTGTAATTGTATAAAAACTAATATAGCCTTTAACTAGAACCTACTAGTAATAACATATGTGTTATTTCCCCAACAATTATCAGAAGCAATGTCACTGAACATTATTTGAGAACATCTTTGTTAAGAATATTGAGTAAGTCGTATTATATAAGAAGAAATTGCCTTTTTGTCTTGCCATCTTTACCTCTTTGGTTGCACATGCTATACTTTATATTTGTTTTTGTCAATCAGTACTTTGGATATTTTGGTAAATCTATGTATAAGATTGCTATCTTTCCCTGATATTCCAAATGGTTTGGCTTCTTGTTTTTTGTGGGGTTTTTTGTTTGTTTGTTTGTTTGTTTGTTTGTTTGTTTTAGCAGCTCTACAAATTCCCTTCTATTCTATCACTGAAACTTTAGTTTCCAGGGGTTAACCAAACATGGGAATTAAGATACGCAATTAATTTAAATGAGTCTTAAGGGCTCTAAAAATATAGAGGAATCTGTTCTTTGCTTTTTATAGCTGAGACACTCACACATTAGGATCTTCAACATCTTTTAGTTTCAGCCCCCCTGGTCATTAGACAAAAGACTAGAGAGAGAATTTACACAACTGGTATGAAAAAGAGGAAAAACAGGTACTTATCTTTTCTACTTTTCCATGAGGAAAGAAATGAAGTGTCAAACAGCACAAATTTTCTGTTTGTGAAGTATATATATGCATTTTTGTGTTATTAAATTTTTCTTATTTTTGCCAAAGTCAAGGTAAATGTGACCTCTTTAAAGTTTGCTGAGTTACAGGAATTACTGATTTTTAAGAAATTATTCTTAGAATAGTTCATGCATCTTTCAGACTCTAGTTTATAAAGTTTCCAAGGAATCCTGGCTGAAGAGGAATGACATTGACTCACGCGGCTCTGTGGGGAACAGTTTGGCTTACCTTGACCTCTTTGAGATGTTTAGGATGGGGAACTCGCTTTATTTTTGAAAGCCAGATGTCATTGCACCTAAAAAACATTTAAAAATGAATTCTTGATGAACACACAATGGTACATATCAGTGGCACAATAACAATATATTTCCTGGTGACTATTAACATAGCATTCTTCTATTAGGATAATAATTACAAAGGTCATTCCCCCTTACAGCCAGTTTCCCATGTTTCTCTTTTTTAATATTAAGATATTTTAATAATTTATTTTTTTAATGTTAAAGAGAAAAGAAGTTTTGTTACAAGTTCTGGTGAGTTAACATAAGGACTCAAAGTCAATCTCTAATATCTTTCCCTTGTTTCCATATGCCATTCCTTCTCCTATCTTACCCTCATTGCAGCACTCTTGCTTTCTCTCTGTGCATCAGCTGAAGAACCATCATTTAAACACTGCATTTTAGTTTGACACTCAGGTGTACAACATTGTATCTAACACATGGAGATACCCAGCTCACCATAGGCTGATGGTAGGTATGAAAGCTGATCTGGAGCAGCTGATCCCCTCTACACCTGGAAAGCATATGTTTCAGTGGTAGTCTCGCCAGTCTCCAGAAATGATCAATTATTAAAACTTAACTTTATTTAGGAACAATAACTCAACTTATTGAATGGACTGTAAGAGATATGAATCAATGGCTATATGTACCCTGTAAATTTAGCTGTAGAGGATTCAGATTCTTTATACTTACCTGGCAGAGGAGATACTATGATCACGAAGGTAGTTTACCTAGGGTGAGGCTTATCCATTGCACTCCAGATGTGCTGACTCCTACAATTTCCCCAAATGTGGGAAAGTCTACTGCATAATTTGTGGTAGTGAAGGACTACATGTGCTCTTCTTTGAGGAAAAGAAAAAATCCATATTCCTGAAAAAATATACATATATAGAAAGAGATTTTAGTACAAAATGTATGTATTTTACAAATACAAGCAGGAATAAATCCCACTGAGTTATTTTTAGTAATGACAAAATAACAAAAAATTTTGTGAAGTAATCTATTGAGTATGATCTAGATTAATGTGAAAGCATTTTTAAAGTACTTTTTGGAATGAGCATATGATTTCCATATTTTAAAAATTTACCAACGAATTTCTAACATTAATTTTAGTTCTGTAATATAAACTGTGAAGAGGTTTAAAGTCATAAGTTCTCTAGCCAAAATTAGATTGAAAGCTTACATACCTAGAAATGAAGAGTTGTATAGATTCCAAAAGTTTCTCATAGTGTCCAAGGTTTTTCTTTTATGGCAGTTTTTTTTAAGTTACAAATTGTCATTCTTTAAAAGTCTAGCTCCTTTTAAACTTGATATTTATGCTTCAACACATTAGTCTTTGGAATCTCGAAATCAGGTCACCTTAACTCAGGAACAATTTTTAAAGCCTCTTTATTAGGGAAAAAAGAAAAAAAATACAAATGTGCCCCAGGTACCAAATTCACAGCATTCATAATTACCCACATTTGGTCAATAATACTTTATCCTTTCAACCACCCCCTTTTCTGCTTAAATGTTTTAAAGTAAATCTCATCATTATCCCTGTAAATAATTTGATATATAGTCCAGAAGCAAATTCTGACTAGCTTAGCTCTTTGTTGATTGATGGATGGATGGATCTATATAAGGATGGACTTCCTTATATATTAAACATTTTTTGAGTATCTGCCATATTCTAGACACTGTATTAAGTTCCAGAAATTGATTGGCAGGACAAAGTCATTGGGATCCTTTCTAAGAAGTTCTCATATGGTTGGAAATGTAAACTGCTTACAAGTCAGATCATATTACTCAACTGCTTAAAGTCTATTAGTGATGCTTCATGAACTCCTGGATCATCCTTAGTATGGCATGTGAGACCCCTTATAATCTTCCCCCCTCAAAACTCTCCACACTTAACTCTACCCACTGGACCAGGAGCACTTTAAACTCCTTCTATGTGGAAATAGTTATTTAAATATGCCTTTCTTTCATTTTCTGTACATCCTGGTCTCCCTCTTTCTGGACTCTTCATTCTCAAAATCAAACCACTTCTCGTGCAGTTTTCAAGACATGACATTATCAACACGTTGAGAAAACCTGTATGCCACTCTCAGCAAACAGCTAGGCATTCATTCTCTGTGTTTCCAGAATCCCTTTTGTATGTCTCAATTGTAGCACAGCTTTCACATACGTTATAATTTGATATTGTTCTGATTCACCAATATTTTTTCTTTAGAACGGTCTCTCCATTTTAGATTTCTGTATTCCCAATATTTACAACAATTCAGAATATATAACAGGCACTTAATAAATTCAGTTTTTTCTTGGAATATGTTTATTAGATAAAGAAACTATGGTAATTTCTGGAGTTATATTACTGTGGTTCCTATCAATGACCCTAGTTCACCATAATTTCACAGGGCTAGGTGAGGCACATGGAACCTTTGAGAGTCATCTTATTCAAAGAAAGGCAATGAAGTATATGCTGTATTTATAGAAATACCAGAATAATCATGCAACATTTGGATATCAGCTCTGTCTTTTCAGAGCCTTCATTACAGTATTATTTGACTATAAAATGAAGGGATGCCATGGTCACTGAAAGAAGGTCACAGAATACCAAAATAATGACCAAAAAAAAGAAGCCTAACCTGAAGTGAATGACATCAAATCCACTTCCACCCAATTTTTGCCACTTAACTTTAACCTCTTTTTTAGTACATTTTTCTTACTTGTCTTTTACTTCTGTCTTATATCTAATGCTCTAAAGAATCAGAAGGAAAACAAACATATATGTAAATAGGAGGTCAAATAAATGGAAGGTGCATCAGCAGGGCCCCTATAGCAAATGGGAAAAGAGTGTCTGAATCAATACATCCGTAATTATGAAGAGCTGGGAAGGCCCCAGAGATTATCTAGTCCAAATCCCCTTTCAAAGAGGTTAAATGATTTGTCCAAATTCCCACCCTCCTTTTAAAATTTCAGTCAATCTTACAGTCTTTCTGAGGTTATTGGTGAAAATGGAAGATAGCTGAATAGCCAAAGGAGAATAATTTACCGTAATTGAGTCAACATGATTTCTGTACAAGAAATGATGTGTTTTAGTATGACTAGACTTGTTTGAGGGAATAAATAAGCATGACTAAGGAGATTTGGAAAGATTTATATTTAAACTTTCAAAGAGCTTTTTGACAAGTTCTTACATCAAACTAAATAATTCTCATAAGAAATTGACTTGGAAAGAAATAAGGAGAAATTTGAGTAGTTAATAAATCCTAATTATGTTTTTTACTGACTGTCCTTGGGCAAATTATTTTACCTTGCTTATATCATCATTTTCCCACAAATAGTAAAGGCAAACTGATTTTACCTAACTCATAAAGCTACTAAGAGGTATGGATAAAATTATAATACTATTATAATTAATGGTAACATATTAGTATATGTTAGACACTGTACTGTCTAAGTGTTTAACAAATATTGTCTCACTTGACACTCACAAGTCCCCCATATGGCAAATACTGTTATTATCTCTCTACTGTTAAGAGAACTGAGGCGTGGCGTATTGAAGTAACTTGTCCTGAGTCATGAACCTAGTTATTTGTGAAGTCAGGAACTAAACCAAATAAAGCTGATTCTAAACCCCTTACTCTCAGCCAGCCAGTCTCATACTCTTAATATCCATAAGAGGCACTTATGTGCATAGCCTAGGTTCATAAGGGCATAAAAATGTTAGTTATCAATATTTTTGTACTTTGTCAAGTGAGAGAACAAATAGAGGCCTAATATTGACTGAAGACCTACTTTCAGCATGTGGCATTCTCTTTACGACAGCTTGGAAGGGCACAGAAACCCCAAGAGTTTCTCAGGTTTGACCATGGTCAGAAGTCCAGATAGGTCAGAACTGGGATTCAGAGGACATTGATCTTGTTCCAAAACCCATGTTACGTCTACTATAGTCCAGCCTGCACTCTTATTAGATTCACTACATACTAAATTATTTAATGCTTATTTAGTATTTGTGTCCTGCCTCTTTTTTTCTTTGTTGTCTGGTTAGAAGTTTATAAATTTCACTGATATTTTCAAAGAAATAGCTTGTGGTTTTCTTGATTTTCTCTATTGATACCCTAATTTTGGCTTTATTTCTACCTGAATTTTTATTCTGCTTACTGTGAATTTAATTTGCTCAACTTTTTCTAGTTTCCTAAGGTGGAAACTTAGATGATTTGAGCTTGTTTTGCTATTCTAATATATGCCTTTAATGCTATAAATTTCCCTCTAAGCACTGCTTACACTGCACCGAATAAGTTTTGATAAATTGTGTTTTCATTTCTATTTAGTTAATAAGTTTTTAATTCTCTTGAAATTTTTCTTTTACTCATATGTTATTTAGAACTGTGTTGTTTAATCTCCACATGTTTTGAGACTTTTCTATTATCCTTCTATTATTTACTACTAGTTTAACTCCACTGAGGTGTGAGAGAAGACATTGTTTATTTCTATTGTTAAAAATTGTTAAGGTGTGTTTTATAGCCCAGAATGTTTTATCTCAGTAAATGTTCAATGTAAACTTGAACATTCTTCTGAGATAATGCTGTTGTTCTGCTATTGTTGGATGAAGTAGTCTATTGATGTTAATTATATCTAGTTGTTGGTGTTGTAGAGTTCACCTATGTCCCTCTAATTTTCCATCTGCTGGATATGTCCATTTCTGATAGAGGGGTGTTGAAGTCTGCAACTGTGATCGTGGATTTACCTCTTTCTCCTTAAAGTTCTAGCAATGTTTTTGCCTCTTGTAGTTTGACACTATTGTTACATGAATACATATTAAAGATTCTTATGTCTTCTTAAAGACATAATTGACTGCTTTATCATTATATAATGCCCATCTTTTTATATATATATATAACTTTTCTAACTATGATGTCTGCTGTGTCTGAAATTAATACAGCTACTCCCATTTTCTTTAATTGGTGTTAATATGGTCCATTACCTTTTGAATAGAGTTGGAGTGGTATCTAGTAGTTTTAATTTGCATTGTCCTAACTACTAATGATTTTCTGCATCATTTCATGTACTTACTTGCTATCCCTGTATCTTTTTTGGTGAAAGGTCTGTTGAAATCTCTTTGCCCCCTTTATAATAGCATTATTGTTTTCTTATTATTGATATCTGACAGGTGATTTTTAAAGAACACCTAGATAGAAATTCTGTATCATATATCATGATTATTTTCAAATATTTTCTCCCAGTCATTGGCTTATATGTTCATACAACAACTTTTACTCCCTTTATAATTTCCCTTCACTCTCTTAACAGTGTCTTTTGAAGATAAATTTTCAATTTTGAAGCCAATTTGTCACTGCTTTTTGTTTTATAAACCAAGCTTTTAGAATCATATCTTTAAAACCTTTGCATAACCCAAGATAATTCTAGTATGTTTCTTCTAGAATTCTTATAGTCTTACATTTTAAATTAAATTCTATGATCCATTTTGAGTTAATTTTGAGTTCATGATATGACATAGGAATCAAAATTTATCTTTTACTTCTGGTCAAAATGGGAGCATAGGCAGACACGGCTCACCTTTTTGCACAACCACAGCAAAATTACAACTAAAATATAGAACAATCATCACTAAGAACTGTCAGAAATCAAGTTGAAAAGAAGTCTTGACAACTATGGAATCAAAGAAACTTCATCCATCCAGACTGATAGAAGAGGCATAGACACAGAAGGGGCAGATCCCATACCCAGGTGTTGTGGATAAAAATTTAGGAGAGTTATCTAGGGAGTGAGAAGTCCCAACCCCACACTAGGCCCCCCATCGCAGGGTTTCAGTACCAGGAAGATAAGTCCCCATAAC